TTTAGTTTAACCCCTGGAAGAAAAAAAAAAGGCCTGCGCGCACGCTTTAGTGTCTGTCTTGTTATCCCCCCTCCTTTCCTTTTTCCATTCTCACCCCCTGGTCCAACTGGATCGATCTAACCGCTTACCTACTCTCTCTACCGTACTTTCACCTGCCCTTCATCTCCCCTTCCGGTTCCCTTTTCTCTCCTCTTCCTCCCTCTTCGCGACCCTCCTCAATTTCTTCGCCTTCCCTGAGCGTTTCATTTTCCCCTCCGGCTTTCGCCTGTTACCCACGCGAGAACTTCCTGTCCGACCAGAGGGACTAGCTTCTCTCTCGCACGCTCTTTTCGGGAACCTCCTTTTCTTCTCACTTTCCACTCCTTGACCCTCTCATATTCAATCGCTGCACCTTCGATTCGTGTACAGATTTGTTGCTTTCTGTCAAGAGCGCGCGACTGGTTTGCCGTGACGTTGCGGTAGGTTACCACTGTTCATTGTTATACTTCACTCCCTCCCCCATGACCCGCATGTTCATGAGTGAGTGCTCGCGCGACGTGGGCTGAAGCCGCATGGAACTCCACTTAATGAGTCGCATCGCGGGTCTTCATGATCCCTAATATGCCTGGTGAAAGGCGGAGATCAAGGCGATCCCCATGCCTGGCCCAGGAAATTGGCTGAACGTGACCATCGATGATCGTTTGACGAACATACTAATGTGATATTCTTTGTTGGTATATACAGAGTTCATCGATTTTCTAACACGATACCCCGCTGTGCACTTGTGCAACACACAAAACTACAACAATGAAGTTGAACGCCGTTGCTGTTAGCTTGGCCACGGCCTCCTTGGTGGCTGCTCAGCACCACCACCAGCACCGCCACCATCATAAGCGCAACCCTGAGTCCGAGGTTGTCACCGTTGCTGGTCCTACTGTGGTCACTTATGTTCTCGACGGCAAGACTATCACTCTCGAGGAAGTCTGCAAGGGTATCGCCGACAAGACCTTGACCTGGGCCTCTGGTCAGGACATTCCTGATGTTTGCAACGGCGCTAGCAGCTCTTCGACTACCGCTGCCTCGACTTCCACTTCCACCACCGCGGCTCCTGCCCTCAGCTCCGTTGCCGAGTTCGTTGAAGTCGCTGTCGCTAAGGCCACTTCCTCCAGCAGCTCTTGGAGCTCCAGCAGTAGCGCTCACTCTTCCACCGCCGCTGCTTCTAGCTCCGCTTCTTCCAGCTCTGCCAGCAGCTCTAGCTCTTCCACTGCCACCGGCTTGGATGCGGACTTCCCTGATGGAGAATTGGACTGCGACACCTTCCCCTCCGACTACGGTGCTATCGCCCTCGATTACCTCGGACTTGGCGGCTGGTCCGGTATCCAGTACGTGACGATCTCCGGCAGCGTCGTGACCGAGATCACCACTGGTGTTTCCGGTGATAGCTGCACCAACGGCGCCATGTGCTCTTACGCCTGCCCCGCGGGTTATCAGAAGTCCCAGTGGCCCAGCACCCAGGGATCTACTGGACAGTCCGTCGGTGGTATTCAGTGCAAGAACGGCAAGCTCTACCTTACCAACACTTCCTTGTCCAAGAAGCTTTGCATTGAGGGTACTGGCGGTGTCCACGTCCAGAACACGCTCGGCGAGAGTGTTGCTGTTTGCCGTACTGATTATCCTGGTAAGTGTCTTGCACCAGCCTAAAGTACCTGGACAGCTGCTTACAATTGATAGGTACCGAGTCCGAGACCATCCCTCTTCACCTTGGCGACAACACGCTCCAGCCCCTGACTTGCCCTGACGGCGAGACCTACTACAAGTGGGAGGGCAAGGTTACCTCTGCTCAGTACTACGTTAACCCCAAGGGTGTTTCCACCGAGAAGGGCTGCCAGTGGGGTAACGGCTCTGAGGCCATCGGCAACTGGGCCCCTATCAACCTTGGTGTTGGTGTCAACGACGGCAAGTGGCTGTCCATCTTCCAGAACAGCCCCACCACCACCGAGAAGCTTGACTACAATGTCAAGATCGAGGGTGACAACCTGAGCGGTTCTTGCAAGTATGAGGATGGTGTTTTCTATTCCGAGTCTGGCACCAACGACTCCGGCTGCACTGTGAGTGTTCCCCACCCCTTGCTTTGGTTCCTTTTCCCTTGGAAGTCCCTGGCCTGATTGTTAATTTTACCCGCAGGTCGAGGTCGTCTCCGGCTCCGCCACCTATGTCTTCTACTAAAGTAGATAATTCTCCGTGGGAGCCTCTGTCGTCAAGTGCCGGCCCCGGCTTCCCACGGCCTTTCCGTACTCCGACAAAGGCACAATTGCAAATAGAAGACCTTTTTTCATGCCTCTGTTCCGCCCTTGATCATGATTGACCTTTCAGTGTGCTTGCTTTCTTCGTGTATCTTAGTATCTCATACTTATGTGACGTGGAAAAGCTTGCAACACCTGTCACATTTGTAACGTCACCCTTCCTTTGTTTGGGGGGCGGTTGTGGTTAGCTTTTTTACTTTTCTCGACACTGAAGTAACACTGATTTTCCCATTTGATCACCGCGGAGTTTCTTCTCATCTTTCTGTGGAGGATGGGATGTAATTTAGCGATATCCTGTACAGTAGTGCCACTTCTTTTTCATGTTGTTCAGATCGAAATGACCCACTAATTCACTTTGATGATTTTCAAAGCTATGCAAGTGTTATTCCCGCTCTTTTCCTTTAGAAAGTGCCCTTGAACATTGAACAAGATTTACCCGTGAGCAAGACGGCTCGAGGGGACTGGTCTACCCTTGCAACTTCGGCTACTGTTCACTGCATCCCCTACCGATTGCTTGAAGACTATGTGGATATCTCCCCGGGGCCTGGGGGACCGGGTATCGGCATGTATCGCTGCAGTGCCCACTCCATTCTGGGCCCCCATCCAGCAGCAGCAGCAGCAGCATCCACCTCCCACCACGGACCTTGACGCCGACCACCAAGTTCCAGAAATTCGAAACTCTAATAAAAAAAAACCTTGCTCGGTGGATCTTCGGCCGATTCAACAAAAGATAAATCCGACGCCATGAAAAGAAGACAAGATTAATCAATGGTTGACGAAGGCCTGATGGTTTTTTTTTCTGGTGTCTTCAAGTAGCCGATGGAGATTGGACAGATGAACGTCTTAACCTATGTGTACGTTAACTTACATTCCCCAGGCGGCATCTCCACCCGTGTCATGCACGGTCGACTGGATCTAGTCTTAAAATGTTCTGGAATGTGCATTGCAGGAGTGGATCCCCTCCCCGATCTTGGGGAGGCTGGGTGTGTGCCACTGTGTGGTCTGTCGGTGTGGGCTATTCGTAAGAGTGCTTCTACTGGGGTCTTTTCTCTGCGTGTGTTTTGTGCTGTGTCTTATTTGGTTGGGTGGGTGTTTGTTTTTTTGTGGGATTTGCTGGTTGAAGGGGCGAATTGTGCATTCGCTCCAAAGAGAGAGCAATCGTTTGGATGGCCAATTCTGGAAGTAGTGGGAGTTTACTAGGTGTTGGGTAGATGATGCTGGGCTAGTAGGCGCATACAGTGAGTGAGTGAGTGTACTTTGCATGTGCATCTGCTCTCGGACTGGGTGGTGAGCTCGGGATACAGAGCTGGGGTGGACGGAGTGCAGTACTTCAATGCCATTGAGCATCGGGCTGGAATTAAAGAGCGAAGGAGAGACTATGTCCTTTTCAGGTGCTTGTGGAAGGTTGGATGATGGTTGGTAAGAGGGAAGAGGGGGGCTGGGAAAAGTTCATATGGTTGGGGGCGAAGATACGTCGGCAGTGATTTTGTTCTTTTCGTCATTGAAATGTGAAGAGATGGAAGCACTATCATGCCTCACATCATCTTCAGTTTGCCTAAAGCTGGGACCGGAGGCTGGAGGGTGATCAGCGGAGGCGCAAGCAGGTTTTAGTACATGTCAGGGAGGTGTGCAAGACGTCAAGGTTGAATTGGGTCAGGTATGCTCCAGCTTGGACTTGAGGGTGCAGCGCTTGTGTTCAATGACTGTTGAGGTCATCAATAATTCAGTGACTTGACAGACAGCCCCCGGGCCTTGGCATGACTAGTCCAGAGGCAGACTAGCGTGCCACCGACGAGGCAAGGCGTCACGCGTTCACGTGACACGCCATCACGTGCCACGCGTTATCTGGTTCGAGTGAGCGACGCGCCTTGACTGCCTGGGGTGTCGAGGCTCCGAACTCAGGCCCATCCCTTGCCTTGAAACAAATCAACAACAATACTCAGAGTGTTCTGAATCTAAAGAGAGAGAGTGTGACAGACTAACTAAATGCAGGCCATTGTCGTTTCTGGGCCTGGCCACTTTTTCTCCCTGTTCTTCCCCCATTTATAAATACCAACCATGCGCTGTCAGTGCAATTCGTTCGAGGCGGCTGCTGCTGCTGCTGCGCGAAGCTCGGTGGTGGAGCTCTAAGACTCTCGCCCGGCGCCTATCGAACGCGTCTCGGACTGTAAGCGTGCATTTCCGCGCTGGAAGGACGAGACGCTCCGTTCCGGGGCAGACATTCCACCACACACCACACACCACACATCCTTTCACCCTTTTCTTCAATGTTTCTCGTTTTTTCCCCTACGGTCGAAACATTTTGTGCTTTGTGCTCAACCCCCCCCTCCTCCCTCCTCCTCCTCCTCGAAGCCTGACCCAACCTCCCTGGACCCTGTCGTCTTGGGGCGGATGAATCCTCAGTGCTCCTTCCCTTCCTTTGCTCGTCCTTGACACGCTTCTGTCTCCGCGTCTAGTCAACTACTTTCCTTCTGGTCTGGTCTGCACGAAACCAAGTCGTCACCTCCCTCCCAATCGCTATCTTCCACTCCTATAGAACATAGAGACCCCCCCTCTCCTCTGCTCCTCCTCCTACTTGTCCTCGACGCGATCAGATAGGTCTCCAATTGATCTGTGGGATCTTTGACTCAATCCCTCTGCAGCTTCTCAAGTGATCATAATCTTAATTACTTTAGCTTTGTCCCAGACGTGTACGACGCGAAGGACAAGTCTGCCAACATGGAGTCCTCGCCGCCAAGGAGCAGTACAGCTGCTCCTGTGGCAGGTATCAAGCGTCCGGCGGCCCTATTGCCTGCTTTCGAGCCATTGAGCTCGTCCCCGTCCCTGCCCCGACCACAGAAGCGTGTAGCACGCGAAGACCATGGCATCGTTTCCACCTATCCCACTCCGGTCCCGACCTCGTCGACCCATATCATGTCCTCCTCCCCTCCCCGAATGGCTCTGCCGCGTCCGGCCTCTCGACGTACATTTACTTCGACCTCGGAACGGACCCCTCTATCTACCGTCCCCGAATTGATGCTGCCTGAGAGTGGTGAGCCGGTCTTGATGGGGAGATCCAGTGCCTCGTGTCATCACCAACTTGCGGCCAACCGGATGATCTCAAGGGTCCATGTCAAAGCCCGATATAAGCCCACCCCTAACCCATTCGACCGTGATACGGTGGAGATTATGTGCCTGGGTTGGAACGGAATCAAGCTACACTGCCAGGGGAAAACCTACGACTTGGGCAAGGGCAAGACATTCACCTCGGATATCAAGGACGCTGATATCATGATCGACGTCCACGAGGCTCGCGTGCTCGTCCAGTGGCCTCGGAATGATAAGAAGGACTATACCTCCACAGATTCAGAGCAGACCTGGGAAGAGGAAACCACGCCTAAACAACGCAAGGGACAATCAATTCGGAGTATCCATGACAGCCCTGCGGTCGAACGCCAACGCCTGGCATCCCCAGTCTCCCCCTCGCCCGCTGTAAAGTCTCTGGTGCCGCCATCCTCTCCTCTGTATACCCCGACACGCTCGCGAAACGCTGTGGTCGTGTACGAAGACGAGGGCTCGCCTGTTCGTCGCCCCGTATCTGCCGGGTCGTTGCTTGCCGATGATACCCAGACGTCTTCTTCCAGTGTGGAGGACCTCCTGCAGAGCTCACAGTCGAGTGATCTGAGCGACCTGAGTAGACATGACGACTTTTCGGATCACGACGAGGAGAATGACCCTATCATTCATTCTTTTGGACCGTTCGGCGAGAACCTCCTGCCCCGGATGGCTTCTTTCACAGCAGACGAGTCCCCACTGCAGCCTGCTCGTCCAAGCAATCAGCTCTCGTCCCAGGGCCTTGAGCACGCCAAATCCCCGAAACAAACAACCAAGACCGTAGAGTCCGCTGCCGATGGCGATAGTCAGGAGGATACCACACCGGTCAAGCCACAGCCGCTTGATGAAAGCGGTGAACGCGTTCAGAACCACGCTGTCAACCAGCTGGCTTTCTCCCGTCTCTCCTCGACGCCCTTCTCCACCATCCTCAACAACCTTCCGCCGGCCCTGTGGAAACGGGACAGTCACTCGAGACAGGGACCCACGAGAGAAGAGATCCGTGCGATTCTGGATACCACGAAGTGCATTGGCAAAGTTGCCCGTGAAGGAAAGGATGCCGCGGGGAAGGCTCTGGAGAGTGAATACTACTATATCCCGGACTTTGATGAGGACGATATGCGACGGGAGGCCGTTGTTCATGATCTCCGGAAACCCGGCCTCCGAAACTGCCGCAAGCAGCACAAGGTATGAATGACCCTTGCAATCGATTATCGATAGCGATCCCAGCTGACTGGTCCTCTGCAGCAATACTTCTGGCGCAAGCCAAAATAAATAAGAAAGAATCATATATTATCTAAGAATACTTTCCTTCTTTGATTTCCTGGTACATATCTTGCTATGCTTGACTTTTTCCTTCCCCCCCC